AAGTGCATAAACTTATATACTGTTTATCAAAGATCAAAAACAAATTTATTTAAATATTCTAAAATTGTTTAAACAACAATTATTTTCAAAATATGTTGAAAATTAGTAATATAATGAGTTAATTTCTCATTTGCTTATATTTTAAACAATAAATAATATTTTAATTATAAAAAAAATTAATATTAAAAAAACAATATTTCTTTCATTTCAATATAATATTGTTTAATTGTTTTTAAGTACAAAAATTCGACCAATGTTTAAACAAGCGTCAGAACTGTCCTAATTGACAGATTCGAATTTTTCAAAAAGCGTTTGAAAGCTTGAGAGCCCTTCTATATGTGATTAAATTTTCAAGTATCTAAGGGCCTTGGTTTTGGCTGTGCAAAATTTTGAAAATTTGTATTTTTTTTCAAAATCTGGATTGCAAAATTATGCAAAATCTATCGATCCGATTTTGATGAAATTTGGTGTGATGGTTCTACATAACATAACTAGTCATATTTTGTAAAAAATGTAATTACAAACATTTTATTAGTTTCCCATTTTCGCCGAAAATCAACTTTTGAAAAGATACATAAATAAATAGGAAGAAAAATATGACATTTTTCGAATTTTTTTAACATATTGTCGTCAAAAGTTAAGCCCCCGTTTTTTTATGCACATAGAATAATTTTAATTTCTAGTGATATTTGAAAGCCAAAAAGCCAAAAATCTCCGTGGATATACGATTCACCCAACTATGGACTTTTTGAAACAGGTACCGTCTGGACTATCTATGAAAACTATAAAAATGTTTATATTAGCGCTATTAAAACGTTATTAAAAGAAAAAGTCTCCATTGTTTGCGCTTATCGAAGCCCCCCACAATGTTTGCAATAAAAACATGTTATTTTACTTACAAGAGTCTAGGAATTTGAACCAGCCAACGCACGTTGTCAGAATACACGTTAGAATCGAGGGCCCACTTGGCAAGCTTGTCCCACTCGTCCCTGCTCTTGCCATAAATACTCAACCTCAGCTCAGCATTCTGATACTTCGACTCCTCCAAGTCGCTGGCCACCTCCTTTATTATATTAGCGAAATACTTCCCATTCAAGTAGTTATCGGTCTTAAGGAAGACTTCCCTAAGCCTGCTCTCACCTATAGGGTTATACTTCGCGTTGAATTTATCGAATCTGTGGAAGGTGTTCCTGTCAGCGTGCACGTCCAACATGTCCACGGTGAGATCGTACGTTGTCAGATTCATCGACTAAAAAGCAACTAGGTTATTTGAACCGAATGTAAGATTGGCATACTACCTCTACCTGGAACACTTCTCTTAAAGTCATCGATACTCCGTTGGTGACCGAGACGACTTCGTCCGCGTTGTTCTTGAGGGTCTTCTTGATGAACCGCAGCAGGTGCTTCTGGTTCATGCAGGAGGCAGCGTGGATGTGAGTGTCCACCTTGCGGATGTTGTAGAAGTCCCTGTGGGGCACCGCCTTCTGGGAAGCGAGCTCCCTGAGTTCGTTGAGGAGGACGTGGAGCTGGAACTTGGAGGAAAGGTAGCTGAGGCGACGGTAACAGAAGGACTTCCTGAAAAGTACATATTTTCGATAAGTCTCAATACTTTCAATTCGTTTTGGGAATGTAGGTACAATTTATTACAAGAAAATAGATCAAGCCACAGTTTTTTTGAGTAAAATTAATAAAAATTAATCATCTGGTAATACGTCTCTGTAAAAGTTTCACTAAAACAGTTTTAAATTAATGATGTATCACTCAATGTGACCAATAAGTAAATTTTTCGAGAGGCACAAAAAAAATTATACTGGTATTTTTGTTGTCACATCGTTTAGCTAAATAAGTATAAAGCAAGTATTTGTATTTGGATTAAAATTAAATATCTAAATAAATAAAGACAATATACCAAAAAAAAAATAATTTAAATAAATAATTTAAGGAGGTATATCGGGGTCCGAGGGAAATGAGGAGCGCAGGGGGCATCCTATGCTTTTCATATGGGACTAAAGCCCGCTGCCAATTTGAAAAAATTAAATTCTATTGAAAATTATTTGCGATAAACATTGTCTATATAGCAAAGAAATCTATTAATATGCACATAGCACACATATTGACTAATTAACAACATAAAAATATCATATTTAAGTAGTTTTAAATTATATATAATGAACGCATGTACATGTGGCAACAGCGCTAATGATCGATTAGCAGTTGTACACACTGCGAACCTACAGACCTCGGACATCGGAGATATTGCGCGTCAATTCGGGTAAAGATGCGTACGCGTTCAAAAATGTATTGTGTGTAAACTATGTACAATACATATAATTATTATATATAGCAAATATATCGTATTATCCTCGCGAAGATTTGTATCCTTTATTTAAAATCCGTAAATCATGTGANTATGATCCTACTATAGATACTCGTTTAATATTTACTCCATAGTTTACTTTATCTATGATAATGAGTGCATAATAAAATTTTCATTATTAAATTTATTCGCAAAAATTTTTAAATTTCGTACTTTTTCATGAAATTTGATACATACCCATTGAAGACGGATGTATTCAGATTTTATATAAAAAAAAAATCGCTAATACGTTTTCTTGAATTTTAGTCTTAAAAAAGTCGAAGTAGGCCTCGATTAGTAAAAACATGACATTTTGTTCAAAAGTGCAGTTTTAGGTGTTCTGTTGTTTAAAAAAAATCCAGTCAAAATCGATTATAAATAGATAAAACTATTACGGTATTCAGGGTCACTTTGTAATTTAATATAAAAAATACGAGCACTCTAAATACTGTGGAGAAAATTGTTATGTTAGGACGTGATATAAACCTACTGTTTAGACATACAAGATTATAACAGGGAACAAAATAACACGCTTGTATTTCTGTGTGAAACATCCACAAAAAAACAGAATAACAAAACAAATATTCACTCCAATATTAAATTAATTACAAGTGTTTACACACTAGGACATTATACAGGGCGATTCACAAATGGTGACCAAAAATGAAAGCTCAGGCTTTTTTTCGAAAAACATAAGATAGTAGGTAGTAATTTGTAGAAAATTGAAAGACGAATCCGAAAATATTATGATTGTTACCGAAAAGCAGTGGCGTACTATTTTATTTAGAAAAATATACCGTGGATACCCTGCATCTCCGCCACTGGAGCATGTAAATTTTAGGAAAAATCCTCAGATTTTGGACAATGTTTACATACATACATGTGCCCAATTTCAAATTATTTCACTTACTAGTTTTTAAATAATTTAAACAAATTAAAAATATTTTTTTAAGTTTAACACCCTGTATCTTTTTAACAAAGCGTCCTACATGAAAACTTTACAGGAAAGCCTCCCCTTAAAATTCACCAAAGAATACGACGTTTCATTTTTGGTCAACATTTGTGACTCACCCTGCATTTTTGGGATAATTCTATCTCGTTATATTAAACGCAAAAAAAATATACTGAGCCTTTACAGAGCCCCACAGACTTCATTCAATTCCCGCGATTTGGGCCGCACGAACGTTCAAGCCTGCATTGTATGGAGAAATATGCGGTACGGTTTCACCGTCGTTGTCGGCGTCGTGCAAAATCTGTTTCGGTTAGATACGTTGCCTTTCTTGATTCGCGCGATTTGGTCAGTACGATCCTGTTCACGCGAATGGAACGAAGTCTGTGGGGACCTTAACGTAATGGCATAAATTCTTGTCCCACTACCACCGCTATATATAAAGATTATGACTTCACTGGGAATAAACTCGAGACCGCGTAGGTAGATGCGCATGCGTCTCAAACAACCCCAATATTTCGTGAGTGGCGTAAGGACTGTAAGATTTGATTGCAATAACCAAGTTTTTTAAAGCAGCACAAACTTTGTTTTTGTTTATACAAAATAAATAAAACATTTCTTCTATAATCACAGACTAGGCGGTTATCTGTTTTGGTTTGGGTGAATCGTATATCCACTGAGATTTTTGGCTTTTTGGCTTTCAGATGTCACTAGAAACGAAAATTTTTCTATGCACATAAAAAAAACGTGGGCTTAACTTTTGGTGGCGCAGTATGTTAAAAAAAATCGAAAAATGCCATATTTTTCTTCCTATTTAATTATGTATCATTTCAAGAGTTGATTTTAGGCGAAATTGGAAGAGGAAAAAATTTTTGTAATTAAATTTTATAAAATATGAGTAGTTACAAATCGAATGAATCATGATTATTATTGTAAAAATCGAAAAAATCGACAAATATGGGGTTAAAAATATTACTTTTTAGGGAATTTTTTTGGTGTCTTTAAATTGGGTATAGGACCTTCATACTTGGCTCAAGATAACTTCATGTTATGTAGAATTATCACACCAAATTTCATCAAAATCGGTTCGATAGATTTTGCATAATAATTTTGCAATCCAGATTTTGAAAATAAATTTGTAAATTTTCAAAATTTTGCACAGCAAAAACTAAGCCCCTTAGATACTTGAAAATTTAATCATATATTAACAATCGGAAAATCGAAAGCTGAAGATACTACACGTGAAATGGTGACCATTGGCGCAAACATGCCTTATCCGAAAGTTGATAGTTTGGCTCGTGTGAAGAGTTGTGGCAAAGAATACAAATCGCTGCCAACGAAGTCAGA